CAATTGTCTGAGAGCCAAATATATTGTAAAATTCGATTCTATCAATAATGGGAAGAATGTTTCGGAAAAGAGAATACCGTCCCTGTTACTCGGTTATAGACAAGATGTGGAGATCCCTGCATAAGACAAAGTAAAAAAATGCTGCTCTCTGGGATCACTATTGCTTTTCTGCTAGTGATCTAAGGTGAGCTGATTTGTTTTCCAACTAAATTATGCGCTTATAACACGTATTCTTAATATTCAATGCAGGTATAAAACTATGAGGAATAATGACTGAAAGCTCCCCATGTCGTATGAAGTTATGAGAGACTAATAATTGAATTTTCCCGCAATGATAGTGACTTATGAATATAAATAACGTAGTCCATTGCATTGGCAAGCCCAAGATTATCTAATTGGCAATTTCATTATTAAATTTGATACCAGATAGGTCTTTTTGGCCATGAAATTGACCTATTGCCATGTGACTCATTGGCCTTAAGATCTCTATAAACTTTTCCCATTTTATAAAAATTTTAGTTTCCTTCTATGAGGCTTTACAGAGCTTCATGCCTACCTTCGTCTTGGGCGGCATCTGCTTAACCATTTCCGGTCTCCTCGGACTACCTCTTCGCCGAATTTCGGCATGGGAAAACAAACGTACTTTAGGCAAGCTTGGCAAAGTGTCGCCATCCCCACTCTTGGAGCCGGTCAACCTTGAAGAGGCCAAGAATCCACTAGGCACAAGGTGTCTTTGCTGCCCCTGTCTGCAAAATTTGTCGTGGTGTGCCAGGCGGGAAGAGACCAACTTGTATTACGATGAAGCTGGCGAGGCAAGAGAAGTGGGAAAGGATGGGGCCGGCTATGACGATTACGAGACGGAATATTTGCATGGCAAAAACCGGGACATGATCTACGGCAATTCTGGCAAACCAAATGGTCACCACGCGGACAGAACAGCAGCCCAGCTGGCCGAAGAACTAATGCCACTTCGACCGGTAGAGTCGACTCTGCGAGAAAATACCTCTTTTGGGCAGAATTTTTCCGGCGTCAAGCAGTCAGACAATCGTCCTCTCAATCGTATCGGTAGGGTCTTGTCGAAGCCAGGCGACAACCAGGAAATTCTCAATTAGCTGTCATCAAAGGATTCAAGAGATGACGTCAATCATATAACCAGTGGTCATCTGAGCCCAAAATTAGCGCATAGTTTTCCCACAGTTATGCACATTTCCATACAAGCTGACTTGTAGCAGTCATAAGTATTTGGATCCAAGTGTCTATTAGGCCTACTTTCACTGTCTTCAGGACAATAAACTTGATCCCCAAGTTACTTGAAGCTATCGATTCACCAACGATCTTCATGATTCAGCATTCTGATAAGAAACAGGCTGCTGTCTACATACTCTAGTCTCCCTGGTCAACTCTCCATCGGTTTGGTTATTCTTAACAGCTTTGAGAGCTTTAAAAGTTTCCACCCGTTTAGGCTAGTCACCTGTTACGAAGAAAAGAGAACTTAGATGAGGGCAAGCCAAGGAGCAAAAACATTCCTCTAAAGATATTTGCAATATTCAATTGTTTCTCACAGACCGCACATCTTTCACCCTCATATTCTCCTCTGTACCACTTATGTCGGAGACCATCTGTCTCCCTAACTTCACAATGGATTACCGCGCCACTTTAGCCACTTTTAACACCTTTTCCTTAAATGCACCAAATCTTAAGGATTCGGAGAAGCAAAAAGCGATGACTTCTTCAATATACTTAGAGATACAAAAAAAGATAACAATATATGATTCCTTTTTTTTCATATAATTACTCTAATGTCTATTCATGCACATACGAATCCACTAATCTAGCCTACAAGAAATGACAAATAAGGAGAGCCTAAGAATAGTGAACAAATTTGTTTACTTAAAGATAAAAGTGCATTGCATGGCTTTTTGTTATGAGACTCGCCATCCATCATCGCATAAGCAATAGAGGCATACATTCTCCCATCCGTGATGAAATCACTGAGTTCAACCAGATTATAGTCTTGTTTATCCTCACATCCCTCGATATCACAATTTTATAACTTTCCTGCTGCCATAGTGACATTAAAGTGACTATCAAGAGCTTCCCTAGTTTTTTATGCCTATTTTTGCGATTCTACCACTAAAGAGTGTGAGTTCATCTGTACAGCCGCCATTTTCGCTAAAGTTTGTGTAAAATTTTTCCAAATTAGGCAAGCATGCCTGGCCATGCAAACGGGAGTCATTTGTACACGAAGTCCCGTTCTGCTGGCGTATCAGCTCCCGAGCCAACTTAGATTTTCGCTAGTTATTTATTTTTTGTTCCCTTTACTCGTGCTTATATGATTTAAACTCTTGATAGCTGAAGCTTGGGGAGGTTGGAGTTAATCTTCACGTTGTCCATAAATGACATTTTAATAAAACATTTTGGCTTCCTTCTCGTAAAAGCCGGCAACCCAGAGGATCCCTTATGTCTCGGTCGAAATACCCTCTATGACTTGGTCATTTGGTGCCTCGTAAGTCGACAATACAGGACAAGTAACATCAGAAATTTATTTACTTGTGAACGAAATATTTTAGGCATCAAGAGAAGTGTAAGAGTCCATGAATTCGTCATTTCATAGCAAATTCTTCCGTGATCATACGGCCATCTTTCTTCACTACGCGTTCCAGCACCCTTCCTTCAAGGAAGGGATTTTTACTGCTCTAAAAACAACAGAAGGATAAGTACTAGCCAGTAATTAGAGTGGAAATAATAATAATAATAAAATTAACACTTCTCTCACTACTATTAAAATAATAGTAGTACAAGTCATTTTAATTATCATTATTATTATTATAAAGTATATTTGACTATTAATTAAGGAATTTATCAATATTAATTAATATAATAATTAAAATAATACAAAAATATAATAATAGCGGCTTAATAATTACAATATCGTGTATTATTACTATTACAGTTAGCAATAGTCGATCTAACTAACATCCGCCATAATATACTAACCTACAGTCTCAGGTTAATGTCTAGGTTGTTTACAATGGCAGTCATTGTCAGGCTGCAACCTCTCAGCTTGTCAAAGAAAGAGTGTAGCGTTTTTTTAAGTTGAAAGTTTACCGATTAACAAGCCAATAATAAACGAGAATATAAGTACATTTTCTACTTCTTTACCCCTAAGCAAAACATTTTAAAATTTACCGAGTCCCAAATCCTCATAGTTGTTTGGCCAGTGATTTAGCATAGGTAAAGTTGATGAGAACATGCATAGAAAGGTTGAGTTTCGGGGAATCTCTTATTTCATAATTATTGAGCTTGCTTCCATTTCGAGTGAAAGTGCTTGGTGAAGAGATTCGAGGGTTGATTCCACCTGAAGATGACGGTGGATTCATCTTGACCAGCTGTCGACTGGCTTAACTTGAACATTCATGGCGACGCTGGTTCCGAGGTAATCTCATTCGATTCCTGTAAAAACGTGTAAGCTTTCGTCCGCCATATGATGAATATCTCCAGAGCATGGTACTATCCTTACAACCAAATTCAAGTAAACGAGTCAAGAAAACTCACCGGCTCATCCGTTAGCTTGAATTTAGTTGTAAGTATGATGCCTTGCTCTGATAATTTTCGTCATATGACGGAGGAAAGCTTAGAATGTTTTCACCGGGATCGAAGGAGATTACCTCGGAAACAGCGTCAGCATGAATGTTCAAGTAAAGCTAATCAACAACTAGTAAAGAGGAATCCACCATCGTCTTCTGATGAAATCTACCTTCGAATCTCTTCACCAAACACTTTCACTCGAATTGGAAATTTGTTCAACAAAATTGATAAAGGTCAATGTGTATTAATATTGCATGTTCAAATTATGAGGCTGTAACTAAACCTTTTCCATGCGTCGATATTTTGTTTTCATTATTACAGATAGCCTATGATAGTCTATGTCGTTGTCTCTGCCTTGAAAA